TCCCTACGGTTCGGTCCCAACGGCGGCCTCGTGTTCTGCATGGAATACTTCGCCAATAACTTCAGCTGGCTGGAGGAAAGCCTCGGGCATGTGGAGGATGACTACGTGCTGTTTGACTGCCCAGGTAGAGACATCAGTGCTCTGGTGTCGTTCTTCATATGCAGTACTATAGCATCGGTAACTCAGCTGTGCCTCCTGGCTTCACGTTTCTGCGTACCTAATGTACTGCATGTGCTCCAGGTCAGATCGAGCTCTACACACATCTGCCGGTGATGAAACAGCTGGTGGAGCAGCTCCAGCAGTGGGAATTCCGTGTCTGTGGAGTTTTCCTGGTGGATTCTCAGTTTATGGTGGAATCCTTTAAGGTATCCATTTGAAATCTGTTGTGCGTTCTCAATATGAACTTTTACAAGGAATCTGAGCAATTTCAGAAGTGGGGTTGTTTAGCCCAGAGAGAAGAGTCCTAAGCTGGGGGAGATGTGATTGCTGTCTTCAGTTCCCTCGGACATGGGTTGCAACCAAGAAAATTCCAGTTGGATGTAAAGAAAACCTGTGCTGTAGGAGTAGTCGGACTTCTACAGTGGTCAGTGGAACAGGGGCATGGAGAGACTGTAGTGAACGTTCATGGAGTTACTCAAACCTTGACTGGGCAAAAAAAACCCTGAGCAACCTGATTTGACTTTGAAGCTGGCTCTGCTTTAAGCAGTTGTATGAACCAGATAACCTCTAAAAAGTCCCTTCCAACCAAAATTCTCCTGTCATTCCATGAGAGCTTTCTCATACCTGGGGGGACAACAGGCTGCTTTCCCATCTGGCAGTGAAAATACAGAGAAGGGCTTTGGATTTTCTTAATGCCCTTTTCAGTTGCAGATCCAGATTTGGGGCTCTGGAAATAGATGGTGGATGGGATACTTGGCACCTCTGTTTCCCAGTGGAGAATAATTCCTTACATGGCTTTGTGTCCAAGTTCCAGATACTCATTAGCTAGATTTGGTCTGTGATTGAGTGGCCTGTATGTTGGTGGTGTGGTTTTCTGTACTTAACTACATCATTTTTATACTCTTTCAGTTTATCTCTGGAATTCTGGCAGCTCTCAGTGCAATGATATCTTTAGAGATTCCACAGATTAACATTATGACCAAAATGGATTTGCTGAGCAAGAAAGCCAAGAAGGAAATAGAAAAGTAAGTTCTAAAATATTACTCTTGTAGTGTAATACATGGAGGCAAACTCCACTGAAAATTCAATTTAATGCTTCCCACAATTAAAACATACTCTTTGGGAATGGGAGATGATGCATTTGTCTTATATATTTATATAGGCTTTAAATGCATAGGTAGGATGCTTACAGTTTAGTCAGAGCCAAAAAGCTAGCTCCGTGTTTGTACTTATCTCTGGATTTTTCTGTAACTGATTATCTTGAATAACTGATGTCATTCTGAATGACATTCCAGGCTGCTGTGCTTCAAAACCTAAACCACAGGTGATCCTATCAGTTTTTTTGATACTGAACGTACTGAATTACTTGTGTTAGTTTTACATTTGTGCCAAAATTACAAAATGAAAGCTTTTCTCTGTGGTCTTCCTCGAGGCTTTCTTGAGTACACAAATACATTAGCAAAGAGAAAATAAAACCACTTCAGTTCTTTCTACCAGCATTCATAATCTGAGACAGTCAAATACCTACAAAACCTATTCTTAAACATTTTAAGTTCTCCTGGTACACAGTTCATTCAGATCACAGGTGGTTTTGGCAGCTATATAAAAGCACAGTGACTCATTTGCTCTGTGGCCAAGGATTCTTTCCATGTTAACAATGACTTTGTTTCTCCCAGGTACTTGGATCCAGATATGTATTCTATGATTGAAGATTCTACAAATATATTGAAAAGCAAAAAGTTTAAAAAGCTGACTAAATCCATATGTGGATTGGTGGGTATATTGCTTTTTAACTGGTACCCTTAAATTCAGTCCTGCATATATAAACCACACTGGGTGGTTGCTGACTTCATTACTGTTATAGATACTGTATGTTCTATAATCATTCTCCCCACCCCAAAAATACGTGTTTACCTACCAGACTTGTTAACAAAGCCAGGACTGGAAAGACTCCAGGGCACTTGAGGTTTTACTTTTTGCCTATTTTAACTTATTGGGGTTTTTTTTTTCCAGATTGGATGATTAGATTTTTCAGACAAGGAAGACCTAAGTGTGGTTTAAGGAGGTAGCTTAGAGTGCAGTGAGTGAGACCTCACTGCATTTTCTTACTAACATCCTTTGAATCCCTTCTCTAGATTGATGACTATGGTATGGTTCGATTTCTCCCTTTTGATCGCTCTGATGAGGAAAGCATTAACATAGTCCTGCAACACATAGACTTTACCATTCAGTATGGAGAAGATCTTGAATTTAAAGAACCAAAGGTAAGGTCCTTCTGATGAGAAGATGGTATTATGGATCCTTAAAACAAATCCATAATATAAGTTGTAATATAAATCTGCTCTTTGCCTTGCTAATAAATTCTTTGTTGTCTTAGCATCGTTCAAAATATGACACATTTAGTCTTTTAGTGACAGTGCTTTTATCATCTTCATTTACAATTACACAGTGAAATTCTTTAGTATCCTCTTGCATGCATAGACTGATCAGGTGGTTGTGTTTAAAAGAAATGCTTTGGATTCCAAAAATAATGGAATTTTAAACTTGCAAGGTCAGAAGGGACCATTAAGATCACTAAGATTTCTTCCTACATGACTGCTTAAACTGCCCTGATAACTCCTGTGTTGACCCCATGTGTTGTACATGAGATACAGATTAGGAACTAATTCTATCCCATAAAATACATGACAGAAGACTGCTGTGTTAAAATCTTTTCTAAGCCCTGTCTGGTTTTATTATTCAGCTCATAAATGCTCTGGAACAAGTCCAGTGCTTTTATTCCATTTTTAATTCAGTTTCGCACTCTTTAATATGCAGAATCCCTGGATCTAGATTTTTACCTATACAATTCCAATAGCTCTAGAAACAGATTGCTTTTCAGAATGTTTTGCTGCATGTTTTGTGGACCCATATTAGACGTTGCTCCTGTTGTGGTTTCTAAAATAAAACACCATAGAACAGACAAGGTGTAGCAGCCACAAGGGGAAAAGTCAGGTTTTACCTTTCCTGTTTTCTTTTTGGCAGGAATGTGAAGAAGATAAATCTGCCCTTGTGGATGAATACTTTCAAGATCATGTGGATGAGTGAAAAATGGATGGTCAAATATGGGAGGAGAAAATACCTGTATTGGGATATTTGGGTTTGTGTTAAAAAATGAAAAAAACCACTCCTACACAAACATACTCAATGTTTTATCTGTAAGATAACTAATATTTATAATAAAGTGAGCTATATCATCTTGTAACTATTTTAATAAACAATTTTTATTCTGATGTGTGTGTGTTACAAAACGTTCCCTACATTGATATAACTCAAGCATAGGAATGCTTGAAAACAAAATCTGAATTATCTGCAAAAGGGGCAAAACTGAATATAAATATACTGTAATAAATATTTATCTCCAGTACTAACTAGTTAGTTTCATTATTAGGTGAGAGAAAGAATTGTTCTTGATGAACTGGACCTGAGTTAGGCAGAGAGCTGACTGGCAGCTTCACAGGGACAGCTGGTCAGTGGTGGTCTCCCAGCCTTTTGAAGGATGAGTATTTTACCTTCACTTTGGAAAAGCTCAGATTTTAAGCCTTCTTAAGGCTGTTTTTTGTACAATTTACACATGGCTTTAAGGGGTTTATACATCAATAATGTCTTCTTAAGACAGCACAACACTTAAAAGAAAGAAAACCAGAACTTGGTGACGGTCTTGTGCAATCATGTTACAAACTGTGTTAGTTAACAAGGAATTCAGCAACAACTACATAAACTCCTTTTTTGCTCTGAAACACAGAACTCCTGTTATGGACATACATTACCTCTACAGCACAATATGTGGTGCTCTCAGAGAAGCAAAACTTCAGCACGTTACCCCCAAAGAACATACCTAAGTAACTAAATACATGTAAAAATGGTCTTGGGAATGTTTCAGACATGTAGCATCAATTCTACACTTAGGTGTAGCTGTTCACAGACTGTTCATATCGTACAGTAACTCAAGCCCTATGGGCAAATGTACTGCTGAATTTACCACTGTTTAGAGTTCTTTTCTATATAAAAACTGTTCTTGGCGTGTCTAGTGTTTCAAAACACATTTCATTGCTTCTCCTAAAACCTATTAGTCAAATATTACTAGCTACATTCAGTTGAGTTTTAGGATGTAGATCTTTTGCTGCTTACGGCCAAGTACCTACCAACCCTTACTTAACCCTATGGAATGAGATTTATTCACGGAGTCCTTGAATTAAAATATATTCTAAAAAGGGCCTCATGGTTGTGAAAAGCTTACAACAGTGAATGCATAGATGTAGGCATATCATCTACATATAGCCCATGTATTAGAAATTCACCCCATCCTCAAAAGATACAAGCAGCCAAGTATTTCAGTAGAATAACTGATGTCATTTTGTAGGAACAGGTAGTCAGCAGATGTCTGAGAGCAAGGATACCCCTTAAAGGAAACCCAATCGAGGATTGAATACTTGAAGACAACTCCACTTACCTAAACCTGGGCTGTGACAGCAACTTGGCATAGAGTTTAGTTCTGTAGTTTCTTGCCTGTAGTCCAGAAGGTGTAATTTTATTCATCAGAAGGGTTGTTCTTCACATCTGTTGAAATAAATGATTAAATGGTCATATTGCTGATAGGGTGCTTATTTTTGAACTAAGCATCTGTTCTGTCCAAAGCAAAGCCAGAACAGGGAGGCAGATTTAACAGACCAGCAGATCCCACATGTCTAGAAGTAAAGAGCTTCCCAGAATCCTTATGTGGGGGTCAGGGAGGATTGCATGGGATCTTTTAAATGGAAACAAAGAAGAACTGGGAAATAAGGTGTTACCTAAGAGCTGTTAAAATCATCTTTCAAACCCAGGTTTCCAAAAATTGACAGCCTTGTGGTACTTGGCATTTCTAAAACCTTACTTCCAGCACAATTAGTGAACATTAAGAGTTCAGTTTCAAGATAGTAATTATAGTCACCTGGAAGAGGTGAAAAAAACATCAGCTCTTCAGAGGCTCATCCCATCAGTCATGGTAGGACCAGATTTGGCTGAACTAAACCATTGTTGGGAAAATTTGATGGCTTCACTCACCTCCAGACTGGCGCATCCCTTGGACGAGTGATGCTTGTGATATATCAAAAGGACAACTCCCAGCCCTGCAGTGAGATTACCTTGACTCACTTCCTAATCTTCCCTGTTTTTCTTCCTGATTCATGCCACCAGTCATTTACTAGAGGATTCAGCATACTGGGTCATATGGGAGGTTATGGCTTGATAGTAACAGGAGTGTGCATCCTTCCAAATGCAATGTGTTTGGACCCACTCTGTACTTCCTTACTCTGAGTGCCCAGCAGCCGGCTCTGCTTTGCATGTTGGGGCAGAGCAAGCAATGCCCAGGAGTGCTGCAAATGCACAGGAGAGAAAACCGGTTGCAAGCAAAGCGTCCCCTCCTAAGCTCTTGTCAAGCACTGACCCTTGCCAGGGACAGGAGCTCACCTTTTCCAGCAAGGAAACAAGATGCTGGGGTGGCTGGAGAAGAAAAGTGTGACATGGGGGGACTGAGGAGGGGTTACTTGCAGTGCTGGCCACAGCAAAGGGGAGGGGGGGAGTTCCATAGGGAAGGAAAAAGCAACCAACTCTCCATCTGGATGCGCTTCCAAGCTCCTTCCCATGCTCGCAGAGCTCTCGCACGACGGATGCCTCTCGGGGCGGTGCACGCCGCAGGCCTCC